TCAAAATTTTTATGTAGAAAAGGCTTGTGTTGCCAACATAGTTACTAAATTTTTGAATTGGGGAATTATCTTTAAAAAAAAAACAGATTTTATTAACTGAATTAAATTCAGTTTTTTTCGATGGTGAATTTGGCTTTGGTTGAAAAAAATTAATTTTTACTCTCTGGATCAGAAGTCACCTAAAATTAAAATTTTACATCATCCCTTTTTAGGCATCTTGTGGGCATTATTCTTATAAAGTCTACCACCAAATAAATAAACTCAGGCACAAAAATGTTCAAAAAATGTAAAGAAAACAAAAAAAATCTCCAGTGCAGCCCTGTTTCATTCATGGACGTAGCGAAGGCATCTGGTTTGGGGGGGGGTGACATTCCTAATTTTCCCAACTTTTTTGAAACATAATAAAAATCATAGCATCATACACGTGTTAAGAAGTGAAACTTTTTAAAAACTATTCCCTTCCTCATACAACTTTTAGACATAGCGCATGAGTCGGAGTATAAAGACGAAAGGCTACACAAAAGAAAAACGCGCATCTGTAGTGACGTCACAAGGGTAACGGCGCTTGACAATAATAGGCAATCCTCTTTGTTTATAATCCTTGGTTTGTGTGAATCGTTCGTCGGCTGTCATTGTCATTGGCTGTCTCTCTCCGTCTCTCTACACGTTATATCTTTCTTCTCTCTCGTCTCTTGTGTGCCGAAATTTGCCAAAACGTGTCGATACGTTAACGTGACGCGTCTTTCAATACACTTTACAAGAAGTTTCACTTAAGAAAAATCATGTGTAGCATTGTGCACGTGTTGGGAGGTGAAACTTTTTAAAAACTATACCCTCCCTCATACAGCTTTTAGACTTAGCGTATGAGTCGGGGTAAAGACGAAAGGCCACACAAAAGGGAGACGCGCATCTACAGTGACGTCTCAAGGGTATCTGCGCTTGACAACAATAGGCAATCCTCTTTGCTCATAAATCTTGGTTTGTGTCAATCGTTCCTCGTCTGTGATTGTCATTGGCTCGCTTTCTCCGTCTCTCTACAGTCTACTATATATTCCTTCTCTCTCGTCTCTCGTGTAACGAAATTTGCCAAAACGTGACGTTACGTGATGCGTTTTTTAAATCACTCTCCATATTCTTGCCTAAATATCAGACCGCCGCCTAAGAAGTTTCACTTCAAAAACTGATGAAAAGCTTGACATGTATACAGGGTGTTCCGGATAAGGATGTAGTCTGATCTCGGCAACCATGAGAGATACAGGGTTGGTTTAATTTGGAAAGAGTTGCGCATTACTGAGCTCAGTGGCGTTATGTTTTGATATTTCGTAAATTCCAAATTCCGAATTACATATTCCGAAGATATCCATGAAAAATCGAATTTTGCCGAAATCGCACAATAAACTTCACATTCTCATTGCTACTTTTTTTCCACTACATGATAATGTTATTAGATTTTTGATCAGACGTTTCGTTTCTTCGCGATCATCATCAACTTTGTTTTTTCAAATGGTCGAGTTTTTTTTATTTTATGCCTAATAAACTCTACTTTTTAATCTAAATCCAACGACATCAAGCTCATAATTCCAGGAATAATAATTTCTACTAGTGTCAGTTAACTTCATTCTTGAGTAGTTTTCAAAAGACAATAATAATAATTAGTCCTCGCAAATAAGGTGCGCAAATTTTTGTCTACCAATTTTTCCCAACTTTAAATTTTTTATCCAAGTTTTCCCAACTTTCGATATATTTTAGGAATTAGCAACCCTCCCCCCCCCCATGGCCCCGTCCCTGGTTTCATTTTATTTGCACTGCAATACTCCATCTGTTTTACTGTATCTGCACTATTCTATCTGATCTACTCTTTTGCACCACTTTATCTGATCGGAATAGTGGAATAGTTCTGTTTGGAATAGCTCTTTTTCCTTAGCAGTATTCTGCTCTACTGTATCTGCAATGAAATTACCGCACAACGGCGAGCTTCATTATAAGTACCTATCATATATGGCGCCGTATACAAAATGGTTGTGGCGGACTCATAACTTGGCTCTCTGCCACTCGACACCAGCCGGACGGAGCACTCCGAACAGTCGCCACGGAACACGGCTGTCAAGGGATACCTAAGGAGAGAAACGGAACTTAGCCACAGAACGTCAATGGTCAAGCGTCAAGAAATGACAGGGAGACCAGTTCGCGCTCTTTCGGAATGAACGAACCAACATCAAAATAAAATACACAATTAAAACATTGTCATTCTATTTATTTTTGGACATTTTTACTGTGAAGAACAATTAAAAATAAAGTGCTTTCCTCAAATTGTTTTTGTGCAAAGTGTGTGACAATAAAATCCACATGGTTTGCAATGAAAATGTGACGATAAACTTGGTATCGGTTATAAGAGATGGCGCCGTATGCGGGCTTAGTGAGTTTTTTTCATAAATAAGTAAAATAGATATTTTTTTTTTTTGTTTTTTTTTTGGATTTTTTCGATTTATTATCGTAGGATGGACAAAGACAAATCCAATAAAGCAAAAATCATAAAAATCAGTCCAGCTGTTCTCGAGTTATAAGTGCTAGAACCAACACAACTGTGTTTTATATAGATTTGAATCATTGAATGAACATTTTCTCCGTTCAAAGGAAAATGGCTTTATCTTGTTATGCGAGACAGTCACTATGACACGCTAGTGCCAGCAAGTTGATAGTTTGTCAACGCGCCATGGCAATAGCAATGCTTGCCGTGCGTTCGTTATTTTGGTCTGAGTTCTCCGAGCTTGACTTTACCGTTCGTTTATTTAAAAAGTGTACTCGGTGCAGCCTCATTCACGTTCGTTTATTAAAATTTCTGGCACTTTTATACAGCGTTCAACTGCTCTGTTCGCTCGCTGGTCACGTGATTACGGCTCCGCTCAGCACGCTCTGCTCTTTGAGCAAAATACCGAACGCAAGGCAAGTATTAGCCTCAGAGATCGGGTGCGAAATAAAGACATTCGACAGAGAACAAAAGTCGACGATGCGGTGGTACGAGCGACAAATTTGAAGTGGCGCTGGGCCGGTCATGTGGCCACCAGAGATAATAACAAATGGATCAAAATACTCATGGAATAGAGGCCACGAGCGTCAAAAAGAAAAAAAAATTGAAAGACCGCAAACAAGGTGGCGTGATGACATTCAAAGGATTGCTGGAAAAAACTGGATCCTGGCGGCCCAAAACAGAAACCGATGGAAGAGTCCTATGTCCAGCAGTGGAAGGAAACAGGTTGGAAGAAGAAGAAGAAAGAGGGAAAACAAAATCAACGAAAACGCTACAAAGACGTTCTATAGGAAAATATGGCAAAGTGCCTCATCAATACCAGCAACTGGGAGACGAAGACAAATCATAGGCCCTCATGGCATCGAGTAGTTCACGTCGAACCACAAACTTTTGAAGAACAGCGACGCAAACACGAGACCGAAAAAAGGAACCGCGCACGAAGTAGCGAGAGAACAGAGAAAGAGACGATGCTGCCAGAGACTGTGTGAGACCCCAACTCAGAAACTCGGAATGATGTAGAAATGGGCGAGCGGTAGCTTTGTTTCTGAGTGGAGACACAGATTGATGTGGGTCGTATTTGCGGGTGTGAGAGTAAAACAGAAATTTTTTTGGTCAATTAATAAAAATGTTTTATTTGGACTAAGGGCGTCGGTAATGTATTAATCTTACAATCAGTTCTCAAAAAAATAAACTCCTGTTTCTACCTACGGGGATGTTGAATAATATTTAAACGTAAAATTCCCTGGGAAACAACAAATACAAAATTTCTATTATAACGCTTGACTCGACTTGCACTCTTGCCAAATTTACAACTTTTACAATTTCTGATGGCCTGACATAAAAGGAAATTCTTTACTTACAGTTAACTTTATCTTTACTGGTGGCACACACTTAATTACTTTGAATTCTATTCGGTTGGATTTTTACGGTATTTTATTAACTAATGAAACCGACTTTTCTCGCTGCCTCGATGTTGATTTAATTCACGACGTATTCTTCTCTCTCGGCAATTCGATAATTCTTTATTTCTGCCTTAATACTGACTTCTTAGATTCTGGTCTCACTTCTTGTTTACTTTACTGACGTAATTACCGGCGAATCTCAACCCGTACACTGGTTTTGTTTTACCGACGTGGCTTTTCCGTTCACTGTTTTACTGTTACGCCGGTTTTTCTCAGTCTTAACTACAGACTTCGGACTCAGACTGAACTGAACTGACTGAACTCTTAGACTTCGGACTTAGACTTAGCTTAGACTAACTGCGGATTTAGACTGCGGACTTAGACTGCGGGCATCGACTTAACTTAGACTGACTTTTCTAGTTAGCAGGTTCTCCTTTTATATTTTAATTTCCCCCTTTGTCTTTCCGATGACTCGATGATCGGCTATCTTGTCCTAAATTCTTCCGTGGTTGAATCATCCGATCAATTAGCAGTATTTGGTCCCCTTTTTAATTAATTTTCAAGGGAGTCGCTAAGTGGTTTTGTTAAGTGGTGTCATCGTCTAGGCTCGTGCCTGATTTATGGCTTCTTCTAAGAAATTCGGTTACACTGGAATGTTAATTGTTGAAAGCACTTAAAAGAAAAGGTGCATGAACTTTTGCTTTAGCTCGCATTCCAAGGTATTAGCGTATTAGTCAATTATTTTGTTTAATTCCTATTGGCTGTTCTTTCTTGAGAGGGGTCGGCGTTCAATATTTTCTGGACTTTGAAGTTCGGAACAATTTTATTTGTAGTCTCTGTTTTTTCGGTGTGCGTGTTGGTCTCTCCTGGCATGGTTGTTTGGGTAAGTCCTTTTGTTATTCTCGATTAAATTTCCTGTGGTCACTACAACTGGGTGTGCCAAGACGGTGGAAAAGTGTGCGTCATGTATCCAAAATAAATAAAATTTCCATCTGTACTTGTGTTCATTCGTCATTGGTTCATTCCATAATTTTTTTCCCAGAATTTCTATGGAGCTAAGGTTTTCTTCTGGACAAATCTCGCCAAATTTTGGATTAATGATTTGGGCTCACGCGAACTCACTTTCTGGGTTGCATAAAGTCATATTCAAATTTAGCTCCACTATTCATTGCCAAGTGGCAGATTTATTTTGGAACTTTCGCGACAAGCCATTACTGAACAAAATGTTTAAAAAAAATAAATCTGGTGCACTATTATTTCACTTGAGTACTAATTCTTACTTACTGTCTGCTGATAATAGATAGCTTTTCTCACTTCAAATAATTAAATTCGTTAGGAATAGTCGTCGTTTAATTTTCACGTGTGATCCAATTTTTATGTGCGTGTGTGAATTTTCATTTTAGATGAAACATGATGTAGTTATGGTTTTCCTGTTAGATCTTTTATTTCTGGGTCCTTGTTCTTGGAGCAGCGTTCCCAGGAAAACGAGTGTTCCGTCTTTGTTACATATTGCAAATCATTGAGAAAGACGGAACACTCGTCCTCCTGAGAACTTTGCTCCCCTGTTTCTCCCCAGGTATTTTTTTCAAGTGATAAGTCGAAAATCCTAATTTTTTAATTAGCATGGTTTATAGGCGCCCAAAAAATAGTTACAGGAAGGACAAAAGTGATAAGAATTTTTGCAAGATTTGAAACAAAAAGGCGCTAAACAACAAGGCCAACAAAGACAAATACACATCACCACAGATAAAATATAAGCCAAATTGGATCTTTCGGTTTGGACATTCGTTATCACAATGGTACGACATCTGGGACACGAAATGTAGATTGGATTAGGGCCTAGAGTGAAGGACTCGGCTGAAAACGAAGGATACTTTTATTTATTTCAACTATTTTTTTAAGTCTATGCTTACCAGATGCAATGCTAGGGTTTTCCTCCCATCCAGACACTTCTGCATATGATGGTGGTGGTTGACGAGAAATATACGGTAATGAAGGGTACGATTCAAATTCACTTATGGGAGGTCCTAGTTTTAAAACTGAAGAATACGACGGCAGTATTTTGCTAGAGGTCTTTGTGGAATGACTGCCTTTTCTAATGTGGTTTTCATGATGCATTGCGGTATTCGAATTTACAAGACCACCCGATCCTAAAACGGTAAAAGTTGATGTAAGTTTTAGCCAATTCGTCAGAGACACAAACCTAGGTTTCTACGTAGCTCTAATACCAAACTGCGTCGTTCATGAAAAGAATGCTGACTAAGTAATTCACTAGAAGTGGTTGGTCTTTCAATACTTTGAATAATTTCTTCTAAAACGGATTCACTCGTATTTGCAGGTGGGCCAGTAGTCTTTAATAAAGGTGCCTTATGAAAGATTGTATTTAATTGAATATCCAAATTTAGACTTACCACAATATCATTTTCATTCACGGTCAGATCAGATATTTTCGAATTAGAAGCGCTAGATATCAATAAATTGGGTTCTACTGAATCTACTGCATGATCTGTGTTCTCAATCTCTAGCACTTCAGATGAGGTGCTAGAGTTCGATTTTGGAATTTGTCTTTCATCTTCCTCATCATTTTTCATAACTCATTGCTTTTGCCTAAACAATTTGTTTACAAATAGAATGACAAATAAATATATTGACATCTTTACTTTGAATATGTTTGTATGGCATATGGAACGTTCTTTACTATGTTGACATGTTAGAAATAGGTTGGGAGACCTCTGGTTGCGAGCTGGCAAGATTTCAACATGTATATCATTCATGTCTTTCCTTTATTGCTTCTAATGATGGAGTAGGGCGTCTTGCTATGCGTTTTCAGTCAATGCCGGATAAGAGGTAGAATCTGTACGCTAGGAGAGTCATAGTGGGATGATCGTGTTCCGAACATTTCAAACTGATTTTTAAACTGTTGAATTATGTACTATAACGTAACAAAAAATTCAAATGCATGAAAGACAGCATGTGATGCAGTCCACAAAGAACTTACATGAAACGCACAATTTCGGACAATGCTCAAAAAACACTTCCAGCTACAAAATCCAAAATTGTTCCGAGTTCCGGCACGAATTAAATCATCAAACCAATTTTTTCCACGACTCGAATTTTGCACTACAGTTCTGCTTTCAAAGCAAATTGAAAAAAGCGATAACAGCTTTTTTATTAGAGGAAAAAACTCCGATTTAAGTTTAGACTGATTCATAGATAATGAGAGAACCATTAAAGGAGGTGTGACCGTAAAAAACGAATTCAGCTACTTAAATCAAGAAAAAAATTCTAAAATCTCACGTGAAAACCCGAGTTCTATATTCAAAATAGTCTCCGAGAAAATTCCTTGTGGAGATAATTCCTAAATTATTTTTCAGTATACAGGGTGGCCCAATAATTAGTGGTGACACAAAGTTATGTTTTTTTAAATGACTCACCCTGTATATTATGATATTTCTAGATTCTGCAGAAAATTCTAGACATATTTCATGTACAATGTCATATACCCAATGAACTAAAACCAAAAACTGGAATGCGAACACATATTGAAGAACGTGATGCCTAGTGCCGCTGCTGCGGAGGGGATACCTGTTTTTGTCGCACTCATTATGTTAAATGGCGGAAATTACTTCCAACACGTATTCCAATTGATGAAACCTGTGAAGGTAAATATGACAAAACTTTCCAAAACGTCACATCTGTCTTTCATGGCTACATTTTTTTGGCAGATATGGCAATGTGTGCGCATTCCAGTTTCATATACCTATCTTCAACTGTTTCGGAAATATTGACAGTTGAAAATTGACATTTGCATCTTCGAGAGACTGTAAAATCTGAACGGTTAATTTTACAGGAACCGTTTAGGTTTTACAGTCTGTCAAAGATGCAAAAAAGTACATTTTAAACTGTCAATATTTCCGAAACAGTTGAAAATAGGTATATGACATAATCAATGACATAATACATGAAATATGTCTAGAATTTTTCACAGAATACAGAAATGCCATATGTTACGATAAATTTATCATTTACCTACGTAACATGTTCCATCTCTTCTTATTTTCATAAAGTCGTATTTTTTCCATTTCAGAATCATACAAATAATCTGAAATATCCACAAAGTTCAAATTCAAATAATACAAGTGCTGCCATCTATCCATGATGTCCGTAAAATGTTTCAGTCAATCAAGCTAGGAGATTGTTCGACATATTTTTGCTGCCTTTGGTCTTTTAATACTACTCTGTCTTTGCCTGATTTTGCCTAGCATTGAAAAAAAAGAACTATTAGTATAAAATCTTTAATATATTAAGTTCGCCTTACGAGTCTAGCACTATGGAAAGAATGCGGATAAAAAAATTGCAATATTGCCTATTTGACTTCCAATAGAAAATATCTCAATATTTATCTATGTTACACACCTACATTTATAAGGAAAAACTAATATTTAAAAACGCTGCGCGCACGCCTATAACAGCCAGCATAAATCTCGAAATGAATGGCGTTATTTCCCCTTGCCCTTCAGACGTCGTAGTGCTAGACTCGTAAGGCGAACTATATTTCACATAACAGTTACAATAATTATTCTCCATGAAGATATCCACAGCTTCTGGCGATCTCTGAAAATAAGATTGATTTGAGATAAGATAATATCGTATAAAGCAAAATAATTACCTACCATTTTTTTTGAGTTTTTACTATTTTGTTCTCTGTTCTGTGTTCTGTTCTGTAGGAATCAGGAAAATCAGCATTTGTTTTCCCCATTTTTGCAGAGGTTTCCATTGTGCAACTTTGAAAACATCAGGTTTCCAGCCTAAAATAATAGGAAAATTTAGATAGGATTAGAATAGGAAAATGTAAACAAATGTTAGTAGGGTTAGGAAATTGTTTAAATCCGACAATGAACTTAAGTCAATTGTGGCACGAAAATTTGAATATTGAGTATTGTATGCGCAATATTAGTACGGGATACGAGGCCTATTTCATCAAATCATTTTACACCGTCTTGCATTGTTATCATAAGTTAGATAACATGGTACTGAAACGCACTTGTACAGGGAAATAGATGGGAGTGGGGGATTTCGCTGAAAAAAAATTTTCAGAAAATGTCGTCATAAACGAGGAAAATATATAATTATACACCGTCTTGCATTTATTTATTGAGTTAATTTGTACACAAACAAAATCGGATTAACACATGCAAGACGTTTTCATGGGGGCTTTGGGGTTGCAATAGAAGATGGAAATTGTCAATTTGTAAAAGGGGTGAAAAATCATTTTACACCACTCCATTGTTGATTTAGATTAAAGCTTGAATGTAGAATAGCTACTGGATACTGATACAAGACGTCCTATTGAGGGATAACGGGCTGCAAGACGGATGTCAATGTGTTGTCTCATGAGAGAGTGAAACATTATTTTACACCACTTCATGCTTATGTCCGCCGGAAGAATATATGTTAAGAAATGGTAATACATCAGTCCAAGACGTTTTTTCGGGAAAAAAAGTGAATAAATCCGTTTTCTTTTTTAACTGAACTGTTGAGTTATTTACTGAACCGTTCACTGTTCATTCTTTTCTAAATCATACAGATGGAAAAGGACAATTGACATAGCAGCTCAACAGGGAAGTCTGCTGAATACAGGAATTATAATTTCTGTTTACAATTCCAGACAGATCATTTTTGTTGTGTCATTTTTTCGCAGCTTTGAAATCAAATTTCTCAAATTTACCTAATACTTACAATCCGTTATGTTTTATGGCATATCCACCTCAAAAAAAAAAAAAAAAATTATATAAGTCGTCAGAAAAAGAACAATTTTCAACCTTTTTTTATTTGGTGTCCGTAGAGTTAAAATATACATATTATTAAGAGAATTTTGCAAAATAGAATTATTATATGTGGTAAAGAGCAAAAATATTTAAAATAAATGTGTGTAATTTGTAACTTGGAGTAGTATTCACCTTTGTACCCGATGGATTGACCCCCGTCAAAATTAGTCAACTTCATCACCGTCTTGCAGTCTTTTCCTTCCATTTAGAACGTCTTGTATTTTTGAAAATGTTATCAATGTGTTCTGTTTTTCCCATTAGTACCAGTGCAAGACGGTGTAAAATGATTTCTCACTCCTTCATAAGACAACACATTGACCTCCGTCTTGCAGCCCGTTATCCCTCCACAGGAGGTCTTGCATCAGTATCCAGTGGCTTTTCTACATTCAAGCTTTAATCTAAATCAACAATGAAGTGGTGTGAAATGATATTTCACCCCTCTGAAAAATTGACAATTTCTATCTAATATAACAACCCCAAAACCTCCATGAAAATGTCTTGCATGTGTTAATCCAATTTTGTTTGTGTACAAATTAACTGAATAAATAAATGCAAGACGGTGTATAATTATATATTTTCCTTATTTATGACGACATTTTCTGAAATATTTTTTTCAGCGAAATTCCCCACTCCCATCTATTTCCCTGCACAAGTGCGTTTCAGCATCATGTTATCTAACTGATGATAACAATGCAAGACGGTGTAAAATGATTTGATGAAATAGACCTCGTATCCCGTACTATATGCATTAATTCAAACTGTCCAAAAATAAACGAAAAATTCTCTAGAATTCGATTCGTGTAACCAGAAATTCTACTGTTGGAGGAATCTTTCTTTTTCTAGAATCACGCAGAAGAGAAACCACGTTATAGTTTCTTCTGAGGCATTTTGGCCAATTTGAGTGAATATTTGGGAAGTAATTGAATCTTAAATGGTGGCTATTATTCTTGTATAGCACCACAGCAAGTATTTGCTAATTTAACAAGATTTCAGTACGTAAAAACCCAAATTCTGGAAAATAAATTTGATTCGTGTCACGTGTTGAGTGTCGAAAAGGCCAATCCACATCAGTAAGTCCCTATTATTCTTCATTTTATTTTGTATTCTGATCCCTGTTAGAGTTATATGTCCTCAAAAACGTAATTGAATGCCGTACTTACCTCAATTCTTGTTGAAATCGAGTTTTTATAGTGTGAACTCTCTCTTTTAGGCCTTTTATATTGGGTAACATTACATCCCTTTCTGCTGTTGCTGTCGTTAGATGCACAAAGGCACCTGATTGCTGAATTGCTGATGCTCAATCCTGAACCTGATAGATTGCTTGTGGAGCTTTTGGGGCCTATGAATCTCAATCGTCCCCCAAGAGGTTCCTAGTAGTATCACTTGATCAAATAACTACATAATCAGGTTTGCGTATTGTTGTGCCGTTTTGGGAACCATCCACCCCGTCTGTATTAAGGGTTTCACCATCTCTTTGGGAGCTGGAGCCTTTCACCTGCAACCACTTGTAACAACTCTTCAATATTATAGCCAGTTGAATTCCCACTACCTGTCTTAAAAATTACCTTTATTTACGACTGACATATAATGTAAGTATTATATTTGTGATTTTGGAAGTTTAATGCCATCTATTATTCCCGCAGGGATTAATGGTCATTATTCCCGCTTGCACACCAATCACAAAATTTCTCAAATTAAATAAGTAAGTAGGTAGTACCATGGAAACAGTATAATACAAATTCAAAAGTGTCAGTATCAAATGCGTAGTGTTTGTGTATTTGTATTAAGATGGATGAATGAAGAGCGTTTTTGGAAAGAAAATTTCAAATAAATTAATTTGTCGTAAATAAAGTAGAGTATACTACTCGCTATCATTATTGACTCGTGGTATAATCTACTATTATTTCCGACTAATGTCACCCCCAGAGAATAATGACGAGTAGCGGGATTAATGGACATTATTCCTCAAAAATGTCAGTGTCAAACGTGTAGTGCTTGTGGATTTGTATTGAAATGGATGAAATTTGCTATTAAGAATATCAAATAAATCAATTTGTCGTGAATAAAGTACAGTATACTACTCGCAATAATGGCTATTATTCCCTCAGAATGTTACTCCCTCGCCGCTAACGCGACTCAGTTCGTAAATATTCCTCGGGATTAATAGCTAACTATCATTATTTACTCGTGGTATAATTTACTATATGATCCTTTAGGTTTAAATTAAGTTAATTTTACGTTTACTCACCATATTATTTTGATTTCCTGGAACATTCCAAGTAGTCCAAATTAGTGTAAACACACGTTTAACACTCACAATCCGCAATGATTGGTTAAATATAAATATTGACGTATCCATTTATCAGGGCCGTACTATTGTACATTATATATTGAATTTAATAATAAGAGAGTTATTTGAATTTCAGGTTATTATTTTGTTATTTCCTATTGGAAGTTTTAGGTCGGTGCGGTATTAGTTGGCCTCAGAGACTTCCTGTTTTCCGATCATCAGGGACTCCGTTTAACTGTATGGCACTAAAGCAGGTGGCGCTCATTTCTGATTTTAATTACTCACACCCCTCTCCGCAGTGAGAGTTAGTCGGCCGCCCTGAAAACGGAGGCATCCTTTCTGTTTTTTCGAACTGCCACCCCCTCACATAGGTAACTCATCCACCCCTAGTTACCCCTGCCTATTTAACCCCTCTTTCCCTCCCTTCTAAATATTTTTATTAAACTAATTTTATTAGGGTTTTGTTAAAAGAATATAATAAATGGATATATTTCTGTCTTTTTCTAACTTCTGATTATGAAATAATTATTGTTTGGCTTATAAATGACCTAATTAATTAACAGTTTTTATTTTTGACATAACCTTAATTTAAATTATTATAATTTGTAAACAATTAAAATAATTCTAGTGGATTTTTATCCCATGCGGTCTTTAATTGTGTTTTCATTGTGAAATGAATATGGTCTTTTCGGTGTACTCGTCTGATTGGTTAGAACTGGTTAAAAGGCAGTTAAGTATAAAAAAACACAAAATCGTTTTCCTGTGGGTTTTGGTAAACGTCCTCTTACTCCTCTTTTTAAAACAAAAGTCTGGCAGGCAAGTCCACTTTATTTAGAATAATTTTGTGCTTTGAATTTTTGGATCCTCCCTTATAGATTTTTCAATATTCATATTATTAAGTTTTTACCTGATAAATCTTATCCTATCTGTTCTTGGAATATAAATCAGGGACACTTTATCCGTTAGGACAATTAGGTCATGTCCTACGGGCCACTAGAGAATGAAGGCCAATTGCTGGCCTTTAATTTATAATATAAAATATAAAAGCCCACTATACTTAAAACATGGACTTGCTTAATAGCGG